CAAGTCTTTGAAATGATTTCACTCATCACTAAAAGTTTGTAACATATAAAGTATAAGCATTAGATTATGAATTTAAATTATAAATTATAATTCTCAATTTAAAATTGCAAACACATATATATTTTTGCAATTTTATTGTAGCTTGTAATAATGACCATCCTTCACTATGGTCAAATATAAATAGTAAATATTAATACGTTAAGTAAATTTACGGGGATTTATATCAATTCAATAGTAGTTCATATAATACATATTCAGTGTATTATTTCATAAGAATTCATTTGTAAAAATTGAATAAAATAAGAATAAAATAAGAATAAAATAACCTTCATTGACAGGACAATAAATAGAGATTTTGAAATATCAAAAATACAATAATTCTATATTTAACTTATATTTAGAAGTATTGAGAAAGTTGTCAAATTTAATTTAATAAACACTGATAACTTGAATCACTAATAATATGTTTTTATATTTGTAGCAAATAACACAAGAAATATTTATTACTTTATCAAGAAGTACTTTAATAAGTGAGTATAATAAGTACTGTAATACTTCAATTAACATTTATTTTTATTTGAATAGTGTTGGGAAAAATGATAAATTTCAAAAAATTACGAAAACTTTCTCAAGAAATTTGTTTTTACCCAACACTATATTTGTTTGTGTAAATTTGAGTTTAATTCACTTGTAATCTATCTTTATATAATAACTATTTTTCTCACTTATAAAAACTAAAATAATATGATATATTTGTTATTGAACATTGGGAAAATTTTATATTAATTTATAAAAACTGTTCAGACATTCAGTAGTTTTAGATGTGATTAGCCATTGCTTAAAAAGTTGATTCTGTAATTACAATTAACATATTAAATTGTCTATTAGTAATCGTAAACATATTTTTGTTAATATTTCCTAGAATTAGTATCATGTAGATATTTATATTCCTATATTGTACTTTTAATTAAGTGTGATGCTAAAATAGATAAGTTTTTATTCACATACAGTATTATGCAATTAAACTTAAATATAAAATTTTATACCATATTAAGAAATTGCAACAATTCAATCACAATAGGATTATATTTTCATAGATATTATGGAAACTTTTAATTAAAAATATGAAAGTATATTATAAATATGATTAACAATAATTAAAATAAGATGCTTCATTAGATTATGAATTAAATTATATAAGAAAATTAGTAATAAGTTTATTGTACGAATATTATAGATTATTAACTGCCATTTAAATCAAACAAATTTTAAATAATAATTAAAAGATTAAATTGTAATCTAACAAGATATTAAAAATAAAATTATTTACTTGATTATCAGTTGATATAATCAACTAAAGACATTTAAATCTTACATGTATTAAATACTAATTGGATATTTTTATTATATTTCACGATTGACCATGATAGACAATATTGTATTATAACATAAATATCCTTTACATTAGAATAACTATTTTATTGCATATTTATATAACATTTTAAATTTAACAGTTATATGACCATCTTCAATTTGTATAAAATTAAGCACATAGAAGTATTGGACAACAAATTCAATAACAAGCATTATGTATTAAAAGATAGAAGATACATTTACAGTTATACATTTAAAAATCAATGCAATACTGAATTGTGTATTACATTATTGTATTAATATAAAAGTATATAAGTATTGATAAATCAAGTTATAATCAATTGAAATAATATAAGTGTTAAAGTTTTAAAAAATTGCAAATATTTTAGAAATGTAAGTAGTTTTTATAAAAATTCATTTAAAACAGTAAAAATGTAAATAATTACCAGAATTATTTGTTGGTGTATTTCCACAAAATATTTATATCTCACAATCGGTATTAATAATAATAAACTAACATAAAAGGCATTTAGAAAAATGTTTGTTTTTACTAGACATAATGATAAATTTAAAAATATTGATTTATTGGTTAACTAATTGGTTGAGAATATAATTGTAATTTAATTACTGATTTAAACGCAAACTGAGATAGATAGTAGATTGATAGTACACCGTCAGTGGATCTCAATTTGCGTTTATATAAATAATTAATAAAATTATAATTATTATTAAACCAATTAGAAATATAAATCAATATTTTTAAATTTCATATTAAGTTTATCAAAAGCAAACATTTTTCAAAATACCATTTGATGTCAATTTATTACACTCTTTGCTTTTTATTTGATTTTTGCGTACAATTCCGCATTGAAATTGTAGTTTATATAATTGCTCTCTTCTCACCCCCAGAACCCCCACTCCTTTCATCTACTATTCAAAACATGTTGAGTTAGATTTTGATTTAAAAGTAGAGTTTCAAAACATTTGTTGTAATTTTTTTACATCTCTATTCAATATTGTTTAAAATTCAATGCAAATAAAAACTTTACATTTCCTCAAATCAATTGAAATAATTTTGTTAAGAAGTGATCAATTTTAAGGAGAGTTAAATGTTATTAAAAATTATTATTTATTTTGTTAGTATATTTTTTAATTAGCGCTTTGTCATTTTAAACAAATATCTAAAGTAGTTTTAATAACAATATAGATTTTTAAATATTTCAATTATTGATTTATATGTCAGATATTTAATATTAATTTTATACAATATTTAAAAATTTAAACAATTTACTGACCGTTTATGTATTCGCAGCGAATTTCTCTCTCGGTTTGAGTGTTAAAAATAATTTAATGTAAGTATAATTATTCCATACAAATAACAAATCCTATTCAGTGTTTTAAATATTTAACAAGTAATTTAAACACCGATTTGATGAACGGCTGTCCACTGACTGTGACTCACATTATTTTCAAACGGATTGCGATAATTTCAAAAATAAAAACATTTAGTTTACTTTCTAAACCGATTCATCAGTGATTAACGATTGGATCAACACAAATATGTAATGGGGATTAGGAAATATTTATCGGTAAAATATTTATTTGCAATAAATGCAAAACAACTGACAAAAAAATTGTGGATTTAAATTAAAATATTTAGTTTTATTTAATAAAAACATTTTTAGAAATATATGCAATAAAAATGTTTATCACATTTAAATATTTGAATAAAAAGGGCAAATATCTGTGCCTATTTATTTACGTGCCGATATTTTAATCTTGATAATATAGCTTTTAAACAACCTTGTTCTACTCAAATTAATAAGAATAATTGTATATTTAAAACTTCACAAAAAAAATCATTTTTAAACTTTAAAACACATTTAGTTTTCAAAAATAATCAATATTTAATAAAATTCATGCAAACAAAAGCGATTATTGAATGAACATATTTTTCATTTGATCATTGGGTCCGCTGTGCGGGTCATCGTTTTCATCCGGGTCTACAAACCGTCCCAATAGGAAGTCCTCCGCAACCTCTTTGAAAATGGAGGCATACTTTAGATGGCAATTGTGGTCACCGTTTGGTATCATATAAGCGTTGGAACCGTTTATAATTTGCTTTAATTTTTTAATTTGCGACAAATCACACCATTTATCCTGAAATTAAGATTTATTTATTAATATTATATTTATAATAATCTAGTTTTTAGTATGAGGTAAGAATATAATTCTATGTCAAACTAAATAAGAAAACATATTTCGCACAAACCTTTTCTCCGTGAATGAGAAGTGTTTTACATTTAATCGATTGATAATTGTTTTTATTTTCGGGAAAGTATTGGTTGTAGTATTCAATAAATCTCACGTATTTAGTCCACAACTGTTGGATTACGTCCTTATTATCATAACTTTGGAGATAAGACTGGAGTTTTTGTTTACTCCAATTGTCGACACTTTGAGATGAAGTCAATGCTTTCAGACTATCATTTGTTACATAAGTATAAACGGAGACCAATATTAAGGACTCAACAGATTGTCGATATTTAGTTGCCATACGAAGCGCTACATTCGCGCCGTCAGACCAACCGATTAGTGAATACTTATTGTAATTTAATTCCTACAAAAATTATTTTAAAAATTATAAAATAAAAAAGTTATATTTAACTCAAACCTGCATAAGTTTATGAAGACATTCAGCATCATTATCATAGACACCGGTGCCATACTTTCTAACGGGAGGTCGGGATCGGCCCCAACCGGGCAGCTCCACAGCGATCAATGTGAACTTATCATGATCGAGTTTATCGGCACCTTCTAACTGCTCTTCATAGTCAGACCTCCCGGTCCCTAATTTTGTAAACATTTAAATAATAAATATTATTTATATTAGTATTGTTTCAATAACCAATACCAATGGCTCCGGGTATTAAAAGTATTGGTTTGGGTCCCGAACCAAACTTTTCACACCAAACGGTCCAACCGTTGACTTCAACACAGAAACTGTTGGCTTCGTTTTCACTCATTACTTAACATTATATTTAAAAATCTATTAATTCGTTAGAAGTTAAGTATAGTTTTCATTAAAACTCATTTAATATACAGTTTTCTAAAATATTAATTCCTATAATTAATGCGATATTTATATAATCCAATTGTATTGTAAAGTCCTTCAAAATGAACAAACTTTTGCCCAATAATGACAGTTAATGTCTGGGAAATAAAATTTCCATGTTTTATTTATATTTAGTATCATATATGACTACTCATACTTTAAGTACAAAATTACATTATTCATAAAATTATCATAATTTAAATTATCTAACAAATTATAAAGATAATTTAAGTTACTATTGTCTGGTCGGGCATTGAAATAAATTATCGTTATGATCGTTTTATTCAAAATAAAATAAATCATTAAAATTTTTTGTTTTACACGATTTAATTTTGATTCCAATAATTGATTATATTATCATTATTTAGATTTTCAAATGATAGTAGAGATCATAAATTTTATTGCATTTGTAAATAAAATTATTTAATAATGATCATTAATTTTATTGCATTGACAAAATGACAACTTACCTTTTTAAATGAAAATGATGTTTCGCCGCGATTAATCAATGGATTACAAACATCCAGGTTGATTTTATTAGATAAACTTATTGTGATATCATTGAAATATGCACTCAATAAAGGGGTCTATTTGGGAAATGAGGGAAAAACTTATTATGTTCAGGCAATCAGTATTAAAAACTATTATGTATTGCACTAAAAAACCAAATTTACGTAAATTTTTACACAACAAAAAAGTAAACTTCTATTGAGTGACTTTTAAATGAGTAAATCTATAATTATTACAAGTTATACTGCTTTTCAAATATGATTTTTACCATTTATAATCAATATGTTGTTATTTTTGTTGCTTTAAAATCATTAGTTTTATACAACAGATTAAAATAAATTAAGATTTGTATAAAATCTATATATTTATTGATAGCTTACATAGTCTGGGATGAAATGAACACATGTAACACTTGTTTCCTTTCCTATAAGTTCTGATAAAAAATGGGTTAAAACACAATAAAATTGATACGTGTTTATAACACCATGTTATTAGACTTACTAAGTCTGTGCCCTCAACTAAATATAGGTAATTCAGGCAGACATTCATCAATTAATGCCGTCGATCGCTAATGTATTGAATTATACAACAGTTTAATGATATTTAATCGGGTTTTGATTACTTATAACATGTTTATTATTAGTTAAGATTGAAGTCATAGCTAAATATAACAACTTTTTTATTCGGCACATAAATTAAATTTTCTGATAATTACTTAATTGTTAATATCTGTAGGATTAGCATTAAAATAATACACAGTCATAGGATTAATATGTAATCCGTTAGAAGGGATATAATTTTATAACATAACAAAAAGATTAATTACCTTTTTAAATATAAGTAATGCTCTTGATGCTATTTATGCAAGCTAGTCTTCACCGTAAAAAACCGATGAAACCAATAAAAACGATTCACTAAAATAAAATAATAATCTTACGATAAAATAATAACCGTTAGACCAATATATACAGTACAATATTCTTATGCAAGTTCTTATGTTTTAGAAAAATAAAGTTACGTATACTTTTCACGTCACAATAAAAACCCATTATAACAGTGTATTTCAATTAATATAAATTATTATTGTATTATAAGATTTTGCAAATGAGTTTTCTTTTTTTATTTATATTTAATATTTTTATTATAATTTATTTTTAAAACCATTAAAAAATAATTTATTGAAGGTTAAGATAATTAAAAGTTTGCATAAAACATAGTTAACTTAAATTCAGTTTGAAAATTGCCATCATGGCAAATCATGGGTCATTGAGGGCTCTCTTTCCCACCATTTCCTTTCGCAACCTTAGCTTTGGATATACAGTATTTGATGTTTGATTAATTGTTATTTTATCGTGTAGTTTTTAAATAATAGAATAATTGAAATTTTATATAATATAATTTATAATTAATATTAGTAAATATTAGATAAAAACTTATTACATAACAAAAGTTAAAATTATATATATTACATAAGTTATATTTAAAAATAATTTAATATATTGGATTAAATGATAATGAAGTGTCTTGAGCAACTTCTAGTGTAGCTAAAATTATGAAATTAGTTTCATAATTTAAGTTGACATCCTTAGGCACCAGAATCCAAGTTTCATCAAGATCGGATG